GGGTGGCTACAGTGGGGTAGGGGGACATCCACAGAGGGGCGGGGCATCCACGGAGGGGCGAGGTGTCCTCAATGGGGCATGGGTGAAGTGGGTGCGCTGGCAGAACACCCAAACTCGGAGAACAGTCCGAACTCCATGGGAAAGCATGCCTGGCCGCCTGATGGCACCCAGCATCAAGCTTGCAAAGCTACAGAGGTTGTCAGAGACATCTGCAGGGCAGAGGGGCAGGCAGGGTCCCCAGGGAAGCTGAGCAGCCTCCACAGGGGTACAGTGCTGCTACAGGAACCGCCGGGCGTGCAGACAGCCTCCCGCGGGCCCAATATTCTAACTTAACGGCGTCTGCCATGAAAATCTCCCAAACGGTTAGAAGGACACGGGGCCCCGAGAGACTCAGGCTGCCCCCTGCTCACAGCACAGTGCTGGAGGGCTGCCCCGGCCCCGCCTGGCCCTGCCCTGCCCCTGCCACAGGGCCCCCGAGGGCTTGGTGCGGGCTGGGGGGGGGGTCTGTCCTGCCCCCTGCTCCTTTCAGTGAGCGCTCAGTCCCTTCAACACTTTACCAGGAATAGGTGCTTTGAGTCTCCTTCAAAGCTCCAAAAAGGCAAGTCCATTTTAATTTGAAATGTGATTTATATTCAAATATAGCAATTTCCTTCTGAATCAAGGAAGACAGTGTGTGACCAAATCTAAAATGTCACACAGGTTAGTAGTCACGGGTCGAGGATAAGCAGTAACTTCTACCTGAACCTGGACAGGTTATGGACAGGGAGGGGACAGGAAGGGGTGGTGAGGAAGGGGCCAGGGCGGAGGGCAGAGGGTGGAGGTGGAGGGCAGAAGGCAGAGGGCAGAGGGCGGAGGGCAGAGGGCGGAGGGCAGAGGGCGGAGGACAGAGGGCAGAGGGTGGAGGGCAGAGGGCGGAGGGCGGAGGGCAGAGGGTGGAGGGCAGAGGGTGGAGGGCGGAGGGTGGAGGGCAGAGGGCAGAAGGCAGAGGGCGGAAGGCAGAAGGCAGAGGGCGGAGGGCAGAGGGTGGAGGGCGGAGGGCGGAGGGCAGAGGGTGGAGGGCAGAGGGTAGAGGGTGGAGGCTGAGAGCAGTGGTGGGCAGAGCCAGCACCAAGACTGAAAGAGCCTGTCACAGGTCCATGTGTATAGAGGTGCGTGAATGTTCAAGAAGGATTTGAAAGAGACTTTCCCAGGCTAAGGGTGCTGTCACATCTGAGCAGTCAGAGAGCCCAGGCGGCCAAGGTCAGCCCTCTCCCTCCCGCGGTTCCGTGGAGTGTGCTCACGCTGCGGGGGGACAAAGCCAGCCAACATCAAGCCTGGCACAGAATGGGACTGCGGTACTGCAGCACAGCCGGGTGGTCTTGGGACCCGCTCGGAAGAGGAGGAAGCCACGAGCTCTTCCAGACCCCGCCCACCCCACGCCCACCCCTGGCTGTCTGTGTACCTGGGTGACCGCCACCCGCTGACAGTGGGAGCGTGGATCATGAGTTCCCGGGCACTGAAGCCGTCCTCGTGTCCCGATGAGCTGACAACCACAAATCCAATCTTGTGGGGCATCCTGCAGGTGCGGGTCTTTGATCAGGAGCAGCGGGGTCCCTGCGAGGACAGGGAGCCACTGAAGATGCGCTTCCCAGGAGGCTCACCCAGAGTCAGGGCTCCGTGCCTGGCAAGCACTCGGCCATCTTGCTCACCACTCTGCCTCTAACCCAGGGCATTCGCTGGGTCTTCCCAAAGATTTGCTCAAGAAGCCTGACCAGTGCTGCGGACGGAGCTGCGTCCCCCGAGCTGCAGGCTCCAGTGTCTGACCGGTGGGGCCTGGGAACGGGACATGACCTGAAGGCGGCCCTTTGCACACATCCAGCTGAAGCCAGGGTGTTGGGTGGTACCTCACAAGAAGGGAGACTGGGTCCTGGGTCCTTATCCGGCATTAGCCACCCTGCACAGGTCCTGCCTAGGCACATCCTGGGAGGCCAACAGGTGCTACTGGTCCCTGGCACCCGCGTGGGAGACCCATACTGCCTGGCAGCCTCCTGGCTTTGCTCAACTGTGGCTGGCAGAAGTGTTTGGGAGTGAGTCAGCAGGTGGAATATGCTTGTCTCTCTGTGCCTTTCAATTCAGTAAACAAATAACTAACTTTAAGAAACAGAACACATTGCTATTAATGATTCTAGTCATTTATACCCCAAGTTTAACATGGCACATCACAGTTTCCTAGAAAAAAGCAAAATCAAACCAATCTCGAAAATAATAAAGAGCACAAAGCATTGGCTGAGAGGGGTCTTACCCACCTGCCTCCCCCTGCCCTGGCTGCCACCCACTATCCCACCCACTGCCCCCAGCCCAGCCTGCCACCCCACTGTCCCACCCACTGCCCCCAGCCCCGCCTGCCGCCCCACTGTCCCACCCACTGCCCCTAGCCCTGCCTGCCACCCCACTGTCCCACCCACTGCCTCCAGCCCTGCCTGCCACCCCACTGTCCCACCCACTGCCCCCAGCCCTGCCTGCCACCCCACTGTCCCACCCACTGCCCCCAGCCCCGCCTGCCACCCCACTGTCCCACCCATTGCTCTGCAGCCACGCCTGCCACCCACTGTCCCACCCACTGCCCCCAGCCCCGCCTGCCGCCCCACTGTCCCACCCACTGCCCCCAGCCCAGCCTGCCACCCCACTGTCCCACCCACTGCCCCCAGCCCAGCCTGCCACCCCACTGTCCCACCCACTGCCCCCAGCCCTGCCTGCCGCCCCACTGTCCCACCCACTGCCCCCAGCCCTGCCTGCCGCCCCACTGTCCCACCCTCTGCCCCCAGCCCCGCCTGCTGCCCCACTGTCCCACCCATTGCTCTGCAGCCACGCCTGCCACCCACTGTCCCACCCACTGCCCCCAGCCCTGCCTGCCCCACTGTCCCACCCACTGCCCTGCAGCCAAGCCTGCCACCCACTGGTCTACCCACTGACCCCCAGCCCTGCCTGCTGCCCCACTGTCCCCCCCCTGCCCTGCAACCCCCCCCCCCCCCCTGCATTCCAGCATGGCAGCTCCTCCCACACTCTTCCTGTTCTGCACTTCTGGGTCCTTCAGGTAAAAAGTCACTGCTCCGCTGGCCTGTGCACCTGTCCCTGCCGCCCAGCACATCAGAGTACAGGTCTTCTAAGAAGGGCTTGGTACCCACTGACACCCCCTCTCCCCCAGGCAGCCACAGCCATCTCCTTTCCTTGGGCATCTGCATTCCCGGAGAAGATGCTACCCCAGCACAATAGGACCCAACAAAGGCCACCTGCGGCCAGTCGGCCACGCCCACGGCCTCCGCTCTCAGCGCGAGGACACCCCTGCCTTGGTACTGCCCACGTGCAGACTGCCCGTCCTAACTCCTTACGGCACTACAGCTACTGGGCATCCCCTGTAACCTCAAAGCAGGGTCATAGGAAACAGAATGAAGATATGTTTATTTGTGTGCAAAAATTCTGAAATCTGCATTTTTCATAATGTACATTTCATACAAAATTTTTGAAGGCCTCTTGTATGCATGGATTTAAATTCCTTCCCTTTCTTTCTTTCTTTTTTTTTTTTTTTCGTGACAACCACCACCACCAACAACAAAGTCTTCCTGAAGGTCCCGCCCAGAGCAGGACACGCACAGGCAGACAGACACCTGTCCAGCTAACCAGGGTACTGGGCACACCCGTGGGTGGCTGCCCCATTGTCAGTGCCCCTATTGACAGCGAGGCGGGGCCATGAGCGCCGTGGGCAGTGAGGACCAGCTGGGAGCTGCGTGAGGATTCTGGGTGAAAAAATGAGTTCTTCCATGCTCCATCCCCGAAGAGGCCGCGCAGTAACCTCCAACAGCACACCTGGTTTCCACTTGCCTTGGTAAGAATGAAATGTTACACAAGTAACCACTTGTGTAACCACACAAGTAATTGGATGGGTTTCAAAAAATTGGAAGTTTAAGCAACAACAAAAAAGCAGAAAAGGACTGCAAGAGTCAGGGCCAGCGGCCCTTCAGACCGGCAGCTTGGGAAAAGGACACCAACAACAGGCCCGCCTGGAGCCCTGGGGCGGGGTGGGGGGTTCCTGTCAGCACCGGTCACCTGAGGCTCACCCCGTCTCACATCATCGAGGCCCACGCCACACCTGGTCACCTGAGGCCCACGCCCACCACATCCACCATGCCTGGTCACCAGGGGTCCACTCCCCCCCGCCCCGTGCCCAGTCACATGAGCCAAGCTTGCCATGCCTGGTCACCCCAGGCCCATGCCTGGTCAATGCGTGCCCATGGCTGCCATGCTTGGTCACCTGAAACCCACACCTGCACATGCTTGCCACGCCTGGTCACCCGAGGTCCATGCCCATCACGCCCAGTCACCCAGGTCCACGGCTGGTCACCCAGGGTCCACTCCCCCATGCCCAGTCACCTGAGACCCATGCCTGGTCGCCCGAGGCCCACTCCGGCAATGCCCAGTCACCCGGGGTCCACGCTCAGTCACCCAGGTCCACCCCTACTCACCCGGGGTCCACTCGCCCGTGCCTGGTCACCCAAGACCCATGCCCACCACACCTGGTCACCCGAGGCCCACGTTTGCCATGCCTGGTCACCCGGGGTCCACGCCCGTCACCCAGGTCCATGCCCGGTACCCCGAGGCACATCCCCAGTCACCCAGGCCCACCCCCAGTCACCCAGATCCACGCCCGGTCACCCAGGTCCATGCCCAGTATCCCGGAGGCCCACGCCGGCGACGCCCGAGCTAGCGACCCGCGCACGGCTCCGGGCCCGCAGCCCGATACCTGTGGTGTCCGGGCCGCGCCGGGCAGCGCCGGGGCCTCCGGGCCGGGCTCGCTCCGAGGAGGCGGCGAACCCTCCGCCCTGCCCGCGGACGCCGCTCTCATGACAACCAGCCCCGGGCCGGGGCGTACTGCGCCTGCGCGACCTCGCCGTGACCCGCCGCGCCTGCGCAGCGAGATGCCGGCCGCCGCCGTCGCTTCCGGGTTCCAGGTCTGCACCTGCGCACGGGAGGGACTCGCAGCTTCCCGGCTCCGGCTGTGCAGTCCGGTCCTCTCGCGGCCGGGGACGAGCCAACCATGCTCAAGAAACCCAAGAGCGTGAGGCTGCGCGCTCTGCACGGCGCCGCCAAGTTCGGGGTGGCCGGCAGGAGCGTCCGCGAGCTGCTGCGGAAGGGCTGCGCACGTTTCCAGGTGGCCGGGAGGCCAGGAGGGTCCTGGTCCAGGGGCTGAGTGATCTGGGGGTGGTCTGGAGGCCAGGGTCGTGGTCCAGGGGCTGAGTGATCTGGGGGTGGTCTGGAGGCCAGGGTCGTGGTCCAGGGGCTGAGTGATCTGGGGGTGGTCTGGAGGCCAGGGTCGTGGTCCAGGGGCTGGGTGATCTGGGGGTGGTCTGGAGGCCAGGGTCGTGGTCCAGGGGCTGGGTGATCTGCGGGTGATCTGGAGGCCAGGGTCGTGGTCCAGGGGCTGAGTGATCTGGGGGTGGTCTGGAGGCCAGGGTCGTGGTCCAGGGGCTGAGTGATCTGGGGGTGGTCTGGAGGTCAGGGTCATAGTCCAGGGGCTGGAGGCTGGAGCTTGGGTTGCCGGGGGTCAGTGTCATGCGGGGGTGGACGTGGGGGCTCAGCCTTGCCCTGTCTCGCCCTCCAGCTGCCCGAGCGTGGTTCCCGGCTGTGTCTGTATGAGGATGGGACCGAGCTGACGGAGGACTACCTCCCCAGTGTCCCCGACGATGCGGAGCTTGTGCTGCTTGCCGAGGGCCAGAGCTGGCTGGGCTGTGAGTGGCAGACACGGGAGGTGGGCGCTGGTGCTGGGGGCAGCAGCTATGCTCTTGCTGAGAGGACCACAAGTTCCCAGCGCCCTAGGCCGGCTATCGCCACTCTGGAGGGTGGCTGTGGGTGCCTGGGCCATCAGCAGGTGGCTGCGTTGGAAGTGCAGCCGCCGGGACTCAAACCTGTGCCTTTATGGGCTGCTGGTGCCCCGTGGTGGTTTAGCCCACTGTGCCCAGCGCCAGCCCCATCCCTTCTGTGCGCACAGACTGTTCCTTTCCCATGGGGACTCCTCCTGACACCCCCTGTTGGAACCCTGAGACCCACAGTAGGGTTTCCTCACTATGGCGAAGCCTGACCACAGGGGTTGAGGTTCCTGCTCTGGGGAGTCCTGGGAGGGCCTGGGAGGGGGACTGAGTGTCCAGGAAGGTCCCGAGAAGAGGCAACTGCTTAGGCCCAGAGGAGTCCGTGCGGTGGGGCCGGGGAGGCTGTTGATGCCTGCAGAGCCAGCTGGCCTCAGCTGTCTGCTGCACCTGCCTTGGTGGGCACATCTAAAGATGGGCGCGGGCTGCACAGCTGTGGGTACAGGGCTGGGGCTGTGGCCATCTGAGCTCTGAGCTGGGAGGTCTTGGGTGTGGTCAGGGACCTGAGGCCCTGGACCGTGTCCCCTCCTGAACCGTGTGCGTTTCTTTGTCCCCCACGGGTGGCAGACGTGAGCGACATCAGCCGCTTTCTCAGCGTGTTTCAGGAGCCGCACGCGGAGGTCATTGTGGCAGCGCAGCAGCTTCTGTCGGCCGAGCAGGCCCCACTGCGGCAGAAGCTGCTGTCCGACCTGCTGCACAGCGTTAGCCAGAACATCCCTGCCGAGGGCCGTGCCGAGGACCCGCCCTGGTTTGAAGGTGCGTGTGGGCTGGGCTTTGGGGTGTGGTGGGTGTGACCAAACTCAGGGAGTCAGGACACCCCAGTTAGGTTTCAGATCCCAGCCTGATGTCTCGTGGTGTGGCCCAAGGACTTGGGGCGCAGGTGGCTGCTGCTGCTTAGGGGCGAGGCTGGGGCCGCCCTCAGATGGGCATTTACTGGTTTCCAGGCTGTGGGTAAAGCGTGGGCCCGGGAGAGCGGGGTGTTAGCCATGTTCACGTGTGCTGCACAGGCGGCTGGGGGGCCTGTCTTCCTTTTTTTGGAATGTTCATCTATTAGAGAGAATGTTCTAGCGTTTGCTGGTCCGCTCCCCGGATGTCCAGGGAGCTGGAAACGCATGGCCAGTGTACCAGGCGGCTGGCAGAGACTCGGGGGTCCTGCTGCCTCCTCCGCGTGCAGCAGCAAGTGGCGCTCCGAGGCCCTCTGATACCAGGTGCCCGCTCTGAGAGCTCTTCCCGTTAAAGGCCGTGCTTGAGCCGCTTCCCTCTCCTGGGCTGCCCTCAGCCTTGTAAGCCTGTTGGAGGCCAAGCTGGGTCGGCCGTGGCTGGCAGAGTCCTTGGGAGCTGCGCGATGCCGCTGGAGGCGAAGGCCAGACATGCTGCACAGCCCGAGCCCGTCTCGCCACGTGAGGCCTCTGGCCATCATGGTCTCCATGTGGGGCCCCAGGCCGGAGTGCCACCGGCCACCCCATGGACTTGGCACTATTGTCCCTTCCTCTGGCAGGTTTGGAATCACGATTCCAGAGTAAGTCTAGCTACCTGAGATACAGCTGTGAGAGCCGGATCCGGAGTTACCTGAGAGAGGTGAGGCCGGTGCTCACTGTCGGCTGAGTTGGCCCCCGGGGCTTCAGTCAGTGGCACAGAGCTGTGGGCCCAGGCGCTGGCTGGGCATCTTGGGAGGTTTGCGGCCACGAGGGCGTGCCCCTGGACGGTGGCTCTCAGGGCTGGCAGAGCCCGTTTGCCTCCTTGCTGCACAGCCTTCTCTCTGCGTCCAATCTGCCGTTGTTACCCACTGCCCTCACAGGGGTCAGACCTCTAGGGCCGAGCTGTCCTGGACTTGAACCTTGAAAGCCCATTAAATAAACCCTTCTCTTCCTCAGGGTCATCCGATGTGTTGCTGGAATGACAAAGCTGGTGGCTGTACCTGTGTTAGGGCTGTGTGGCTCTGGGGCCTGGCCCCCGGGGCTTTTGGACACCTGAGGGTTCCTGGTCAGGCTGCCCCACTAAGCTAAGCCAGCAGGGCACCAGAGGCATTGCTACCTCACTGTCACTCGCTGTGATGTCACCTCAGGCAGCCCCAGGCTAGCCGCCTGCTCCCCAGGAGTGCCATGTTGCCCCCTTGTGCCTGTTGGTATGGATCCCAGGCCAGCCACCCGTGCCCGGGGATGCCACGTTGCCTCCGCTGTGCCTGTCAGTGTGGGCAGCCCCAGGCCAGCCACCCGTGCCCAGGTGTGCCATGTTGCCTCCGCTGTGCCTGTCAGTGTGGGCAGCCCCAGGCCAGCCACCCGTGCCCAGGTGTGCCATGTTGCCTCTGCTGTGCCTGTCAGTGTGGGCAACCCCAGGCCAGCCACCCGTGCCCGGGGATGCCACATTGCCTCCATTGTGCCCAAAAATCTGGGTTTCTTCATTTTTCTATTCTGTCTTGACATGAATTTCCCCCAAATAAACACCCTGCTTTGTGCCCTGTTCATGCTGAGCGCCCCCTCCTGAGCGCCCCCTCCCCCAGCACAGCTGATAACGGCTGCCTGCCCTGGGTTGGGCAGGCCCAGGTTGTGCCAGCTACCAGCCTGGCATAGCTGGGACGATGGCCTGCCCTGGGGTGGGTAGGCCTGGGCTGCGCTGGCTGGGCATAGCTGGAACAGCTGCCTGGCCTGGGGGTGGGGAGGCCCGGGCTGTGCCAGCTACCAGGCTGGGCATAGCTGGGACAGCTGCCTGCCCTGGGGGTGGAGAGGCCCGGGCTGTGCCAGCTGCCGACTGGACTCCGTAGCACTTTGGCAGGTGCTGTGAGCTGCTGAAGTCCCCTAGCCCCTTCCTGCTCAGCAGGTGCAAGCAGCAGCCTGGTGACCCTCCCAGGGGAGTGTTCTTTCTCCTCACAGAGGGCTGTTCCTTGGATCCCTTGCCTGGGTGGGGTCCCTGTCTCCGGGGGTGCAGTGGGCTGGCTGCGCCAGGTGTCAGGTGGGGGTGTGCGTCCAGGCTCAGCGTGATCCTTGCGTCTCCAGGTGAGCTCTCACGTCACCATGGTGGGCCCTGAGGCCCGGGAGGAGTTCCTGCGGGTGCTGGACGCCATGGGCCAGAAGCTCAGGTCCGTGCACTACAATGGCAGCTACTTCGACCGAGGGGCGGCGGCTGGCAGCCGGCTCTGCACACCGGAGGGCTGGTTCTCCTGCCAGGTGAGCATGTGCCCCGTCACTGGGAGGAGGGGCCGTGGCCCAGGTGTGCCCACTGACTGTGTGTGGGAGGTAAGGCCATGGCCATTGCCTGCTGAGCCTGGCAGCCCAGTGTCCTTGCTGGGACCACAGGGAGCTGTTGTGAGGCTGTGAATGGAGAGGCTGTTCGTTGGGGCGGCCCTGGCTGACCAGGTGCTGGCTGGGGCCCTGGCCAGTGGTTTCTCACCGGGTGGAGATGGGTGTGGGAATGCCAAGCTCAGGGAGGCTGGCATGGCAGTCCTGTCGCCTCCTGGAGACAGGGAGGCTGGCGTTGTGGTCCTGTGGCCACCTGGAGCTCAGGGAGGCTGGCATGGCGGTTCTGTGGGCACCTGGAGTGACAGGCACCGACATGACAGTCACAGGCCCTCACTTGTCCTCTTTGGAAATGCAGAGGAGTGTCCGTGGCAACGAGGGAGAGGGGTGCTCGGTGTCCTTTCAGGAGCGTAGCTCTGCCTGACTCCCCAGGTGTGGACAGCTGCAGGGGGTCTCCTTCTCTTGTCGGTCCTCAGGGTCCTTTCGACATGGCCGACTGCACGTCCCGACACTCCATCAACCCCTATAGCAACAGGGAGAGCCGCGTCCTCTTCAGCACGTGGAACCTGGATCACATGTGAGTGCCCACCCCCGGGGACAGGACCACGTCCGGGGACCTGCTGCGCCCCTCCCCAGCCTGGCCTTGCCCAGGCCAGCGGGACCACCCGGAGCGGTTCTGGCCTGGGGAGGGACCCTGGGGTGCATGTCGGGGAGAGGTCCTTGGGTTGTTTATGCCCTGGAGGACAGCTTGCCCTGTCCCTCCACGGGGGCTGCTGGGGTTTCCAGCTGTGGGTCCCTCAGGGGCCGTGGTGGTCACGGGGGCCTGGCAGACCTCGCCATGCTCTGGTGGAGAGAGACGCACAGCCTGCGGCCCAGGAAGCAGACAGCACCCATCCCGCCTGCAGAATCGAGAAGAAGCGCGCTGTGGTCCCCACCCTGGCTGCTGCCGTCCAGGACCCGGGCGGCAGGGAGGTGGACTGGGAGTATTTCTACAGCCTGCTCTTCACCACCGAGAACCTGAAGCTGGTCCACATCGCCTGCCACAAGAAGACCACCCACAAGCTCAGCTGTGACCCCAGCAGGGTCTACAGACTCCCGGCGAGGCCGCGAGCAAGGCCCGCCAGGAAGCGCCAGAGGCCGCGAGGGAGGCCCGCCCTGGCCCGGAGCCTGCCAGGGGGTCGCTGAGGCCAGAGCTCAGGACTCCCCGCCGCCTGGTTGTACCTCCCTGGTGTGGCATCCCTGCTCCAGCAATGTCCTGGCTGCACTCGGCCACCGGCTGGCAGAGCAAGTCTTACCTGCCTCACCCACGTCTCTGTGTTCTGCTGGGTCCGTGCTTGTGGCCATGACAGCTCAGAGCCCTGGACTGTTCCAGACTCGTACTAGATGTTTGAGAGCAGGACAAAATGTCCACTCCACACAGCATATACATGGACGGTCACTGCCAAGGGCTGGGGGGATAGCAGATGGGGCATGAGGCAGGGCTGCAGGCAATTCTGCAGGTGAAACATGCTGAGGCTCAGCCCGATCCCTCTGCGGTGCAGCCCTGCGGCTGGCCTCACGGGCTATGTGGGCACGCTAGTGGCTGGCCTCACGGGCTGCGTGGGCACGCGAGCGGCTGGCCTCACGGGCTGCGTGGGCACGCGAGCGGCTGCCCTCACGGGCTGCGTGGGCACGCGAGCGGCTGGCCTCACGGGCTGCGTGGGCACGCGAGCGGCTGCCCTCACGGGCTGCGTGGGCATGCGAGCGGCTGGCCTCGGAGGCTGCGTGGGCATGCGAGCGGCTGGCTTCACGGGCTGTGTGGGCATGCGAGCAGCTGCCCTCACGGGCTGCGTGGGCATGCGAGTGGCTGGCCTCGGAGGCTGTGCGGTGAGCCATGTGCATGGCCGCAGGAAGCCTGGCCGCACCAGCAGCAGGAATCCCAGGGAGGGACAGTCCTGAGTCATGTGTCTGATAATACTTGAAATTTTTTTTTTAAGATTTACTTTTATTGGACAGTGAGATATACAGAGAGGAGAGACTAGAGGAAGATCTTCCATCTGCTGATTCACTCCTCAAGTGGCCGCAACAGCTGGAGCTGAGTCAGTGTGTAGGCAGGAGTCTGGAATCTCTTCCGGGTCTCCCATGCGGGTGCAGGGCCCCAAGGCCTCGGGCCGTCCTCGACTGCTTTCCCAGGCCACAGGCAGGGAGCTGGATGGGAAGTGGGATGGCCGGGATTAGAACTGGTGCCCAAATGGAATCCTGGAGCATGCGAAGTGAGGACTTTAGCCACTAGGCTATCACGCCAGGCCCCAATACTTGAATTTTTTACGTGGGCATTTATAACATTTTAAAATGTATTTTTACAAGCCATACATTTTGTAGCTTAATTTTCAATGTGTCGTGCAATCAGAAAATGCAGTGAAGGTATCTCGTTTGTTGTGAAGTTGATTTACAGGTTCAGGGCCAGAGAGCGCGGGAAGGGAAACGGGCGGGAAGGGGACCGGGGCACATGTTTCTGCTTTCGGCTTCTGTCTGGGGAGAGGGCGCCCTCGCCAGGCCTGCGGGGGTGCGCCCTGGGCAGTAGGATGGGAGCTGTGCGGCTGCCAGCAGGTGACGCACGACACCTGCCTGTCCCACGGCCCGCCCCTGCCGTTCCTGCCTCTCGTTGGGCGTGCTGAAGGTGTCCTTCCGTCTCTTCTGCAGCTGCTTCCTGTTAATCCGGGGCCTTGCATGCTCCGGGTTTGGAAATCTACCTCATCCAATGGGTCCATCTCACAAGCCGTAGAAAGTGTAGCTGTCCGTGTCCCGGCTTGGTCACCGTCGCGGTGAAGGTCGCCGGCTGTGTCCCCGCATGGTCACTGTCGCGGTGAGGGTCGCCGGCCGTGTCCCCGCACGGTCACTGTCGCGGTGAGGGTCGCCGGCCGTGTCCCCGCATGGTCACTGTCGCGGTGAGGGTCGCCGGCTGTGTCCCCGCACGGTCACCGTCGCGGTGAGGGGTCGCTGCCTTTTTTGTGTTTTTGAAGTGGCATCCAAGGACCTTGGGTGGTGGGCAGGCCGACTCGCCCTGGGTTGTGTCTGGGCACGACTCGCCCCGCCCAGGGTCAGCACAGGAGGTGGCACATCGTGCACCGGGTGTTCCAATGCCCACACGCCCGGGTCTCTGGTCCTGAGACGGGGAACCCGGGTTTCTTGGCAGCACCAAAGGCCATCATCCCCCCATCCCCGATCCTGGCCTAGCACAGCTGGCGACCCCCTAGAACACGTCATATTCCTGGCCTGCTTAAGAGCAGCAGTGGGGCCCACAATGCACTCTAAGGACAGGTCCAAGTTTGCACTGGCTGAGAATGCTAAGACCCAGGACACCCAGGAGCCGAGGGGGCTCGTCGGCTGGGGGCTCTTGCCGTCGCTGGAATACGAGGCGGCCTGTGTGTGGGACATTCAGGGGCCCTGGGCACAGCCCCTGGTATGAACTGGTCCCAGCAGGGCACTGAGGAGGGCAGTTGAGGCCGGTGCAGCACCTGCTCCCCTTAGGTCATCCTCACAAAGGCTGAAGAACTTGCTGGAACCCTGGAGCTGCCGCTGCAGGAGGCTGGACAGACACCTCAGAGGTGCCCCTCGGACATGGCCCTTTGCTTGCTCTGGCCAAGCTGGGGGAGGTGCCGGGTGCCTGTTCTAGAAAGGAGGTGTTCCCAGTCAGAAGGTAAGGTCCCCCAGCTCCCCGGCTCTAGGATGATACAGCTGGCAGCTATCCACACACACGTGAGGTGGCTGTGCGATGCACTGACAGGCCGGCTCGGGAGCACCTGCAGCTGCCCTGAGGCGCCCTGTGGTCCAGGGTGGCGGTCACCAGGAGCTGGGTCACCTGCAGCTGCCCTGAGGCGCCCTGTGGTCCAGGGTGGCGGTCACCAAGAGCCGGGTCACCTGCAGCTGGTCTGAGGCGCCCTGTGGTCCAGGGTGGCGGTCACCAGGAGCCAGGTCACCTGCAGCTGCCCTGAAGCGCCCTGTGGTCCAGGGTGGCGGTCACCAGGAGCCGGGTCACCTGCAGCTGCCCTGAAGCGCCCTGTGGTCCAGGGTGGCGGTCACCAGGAGCCGGGTCAGCTGCAGCTGCCCTGAGGCGTGCCTGTGGTCCAGGGTGGCGGTCACCAGGAGCCGGGTCAGCTGCCCTGAGGCGCCCTGTGGTCCAGGGTGGCGGTCACCAGGAGCCGCCCCGGGCGACCAGCCTCCTGTGGGTTCACAGGCGAGGGATGCGAGGGACACCAGGCCCTCGCCTTCCTGGCTGTCAGGAACAGTTTCACACCTGAGACTTCTTGAAAATGATTTCCAAAATAATTTTATTTCTTTCTCATAAGTAGTTTGCAAAATTCCAGGGCAAATGTTAACTTCCTATACAGAAATAAAAGCAAGTCCTTTAATCATTGGCACAGCATCGATCACATGAATGATCAAACTCAGATCATGAAAAATACATCTGCATATTATAAAACTGACGCGCTTCCGCAGAGGGGCTCATTTTCATTAAGGCCTCGCTTACTGAAAGCTGTCTCGGAGCCGGCCAGGTCATCCTGGATGAGCACAGGAGCAGGCTGTGACGTTGGCATGGCCAGCAACGCCCAGCTGTCCCCGCATGCTGCCCCGGCTGGTCCCAAGGCCTCACTACACTCTCAGGCAGACGCTGTCTGCTTGGCACCGGGTGGGCGTGTCCTCTACCCGTCAGCGCCATCCTCCTCCTCGTCCTCCTTGGCTCTGAAATGCATTTTCCTGAACTCTCGCCTGCTCATGGAGGGGCACGAGGAAGACGCTGGTGGCAGGTCCTTGGAGGGGAAGGAGACAGGACTTCAGCTGAGGGTCCGCACCCCGGGGACCACACTGTCCATCAGCTCTGGAGCTGGCTGGGTTGTCCCCCTCTCCCATCCCCTCCCCAGGACCAGTGAGGACCACCAAGTCCCAGCACTGCCTCAGCAGAAGGGCATGGGGCTCCTGTCCCACTCTGCAACCACGTGGCTGTGTCCTGACCCTGTGACCCACACAGCTGCTGTCCCACCCTAACCCTGTGACCACGGGGCTCCCCTCCCACCTGCGGCTGACGGCCCATCCTGTGGCCACAGGGCTCCTGCCCCACTCTGCAGCGGGGTCCACTGAGGCCGGTCCCGTGGCTGATTCTCGGCTTGTGAGCCGATGAAGTTAGCGCCCTGCCTGCCTGGGGAGGCGTGACCTGCAGTCAGCCCGTGGGCGCGTGGCTTACCTGCATGAGCTCCACGTTGCCGAAGAAGCGGCTCACGGGCAGCGGCTGGTTACTGTCCTCATCTAGGAAGACACTGTTGTCCATGGCCAGCCCTGGGGCCCGGGCAGCCTCTGTCTCCGGCCCGGGCTCGGCCTGGGGGGCGCAGCAGCCCTGGGCATCTTCGTGGCCGGGCGCAGCCCCAGGCTGCGGCCTGGATGGGTCGTCCGCAGTCTGGGCTGAACGGGGACTAAGTGGCAGCCCGGCCACCTCCTCGTGGCCAGCGGCATCAGTCGCGGGGCCCGCCAGCGCTGCACTGTCCCCAGCGAACTCAGACTCCGGAGGGGTCCCCGGTGCCATTTTGGGCAAGGAAGCACCATCATTTTGGGGGGCGAGTTTCTGTAATTCTGATTTCACAAGATGGCCTTTGTCACACTTGAACTTCTTGGAGGACCGTCTGTCTATGGCCTTGTGTGATGAGGAAGCCTGTCGGGAAGACGTTAAAGGCAAACTAGACTGACCCAGGATAAAGACAGGGGTGAGGGCTCCTGCTCAGGGCCAGAGGAGCCAGGCGGGTGATGTGGCACAGGTCATCACAGCACCCAGGGCAGCCACATGGGGTGCCTCACCCCAAGCAGGAATGCCTGGGTTCGTGTCTGGACTCAGCTTCTGGTCCATCCTCCTGCCAGTGTACGCTGCGGAAGGCAGCCCACGCAGCCCACGCTCCCGGGCTCCCTGCTGCCCCGTGGACACTGTGGAAGGCAGCCCATGCTCCCGGGGTCCCTGCTGCCAGTGCACGCTGCGGAAGGCAGCCCACGCAGCCCACGCTCCCGGGCTCCCTGCTGCCCCGTGGACACTGTGGAAGGCAGCCCATGCTCCCGGGGTCCCTCCTGCCAGTGCACGCTGCGGAAGGCAGCCCACGCAGCCCACGCTCCCTGCTGCCCCGTGGACGTTGCGGAAGGCAGCCCACGCAGCCCACGCTCCCTGCTCCCTGCTGCCTGTGGGAGCCTACACTGACTCCTGGCCTCCTAACCGTAACTGTGGCATCAGGAGGGAGACAGTGATGCACCGTCTGTCCTCTTTTGATCTAAAGGGCTGTCCTGTACAACAGCAGCCCGGTCCCCCGCAGCCGCCCTCCACCCGCACTCCCCGGCTGCCCTGGTGCGGGTTCCATGCAAGCCACCTGGCGCAGAGCTGCCTGGAAGAGGGGGTCCCTCTGCCAGGACCCTTCCTCTTCCTCCAGGCCTACGGGTCAGGGTGGTGTCGTGACAGGCCAGTCTTCCTGATGAGCCAGTCCCTCTGGACCCACTGGGCTGGAGTGTTCCCTCCTCTGTGCTGTCACCATCCCTTGCTCAGACACGAGGCTGCGTCCACGTTTCCCTGACAATGCGTCTGGTGGCAGCTGTGCATAGAGCCGGGAGCCCAGGACCCGGTGCTGGGGGACACAGGCTCACCTGGCATGCTGTCTTGGCTGATGTGGCACCGGCGGCGTCCTGCGCGGCGGCTGAGCAGCTGCGGGCTCTCAGGCGTGCTGAACACCGCACCTCACCTGTGAGCTGGACGGCACGGGCTCGGTGAGGCGTGCTAGTGCGGCCAAGGGCACAAAGACGGGGTTGCGGGACACTCGAAGGACACTGCATGCCACCACTGCCAGCCTTCCACCACTGCCAGCCTTCCCGCCTCCCGAGGACACCTGGGGTCAGGCGAGGATCTGCCCCACACTAGTCTACCCTGGGAACCACCATCTCGAGTTCACAGCCAGGAGGACGCCTCAGGGCTGAGCCACGCCCCTGCCTCAGGGTGCCCTAATGCCTGGGCGCTGTGCCAGCGGTCCCTGCGGCATCTCCCGCGCGGTCCCCCAGGTCCGTCACAGTCTGGGGTCCGCAGCAAGCGGCTCTGTCCCCTCTACTTCATCCTGAATGTGCAGGAACAACTCGGCTTTCCAGAAACAAAGATGACAGTTACTTCGCGGCCCTGGGCCCGCAATCTGCCAGCTCGGAGCCCCCACAGCGACACAGCACTGCCAGCTCAAGGTCCAATTTCAGGGCGTCTGCCACCTCCCTGCCTGACCCAGAACCCAAAGCAAGGTAACAAACCAAACGTAGGAAGTGGTGCACCTTACAGCTCTCCCTAACACCTGAATGACAGTAGGACATGGGTAATAAACAGAGCCGATCCGGAAATGCACACCGGGACAGAGGAAGGGAAGGGAGACAGTGGCTGCAGGCTGTGACACAGGGCAGGCTGCTCAGAGCCGGAGACAGAGGCAGTGCATGTCGCCAAGGAAGGAAAGTAGCCTACAACCCGAGGGAAGGGAAGGCACCTGGCCTGCTGTGTGGCCCCTTGGGGGCTCCTGGCATGGGGCAGCACCTGCTGTGTGGCCTCTTGGGGGCTCCTGGCCGGGGGCAGCACCTGCTGTGTGGCCCCTTGGGGGCTCCTGGCATGGGGCAGCACCTGCTGTGTGGCCCCTTGGGGGCTCCTGGCATGGGGCAGCACCTGCTGTGTGGCCTCTTGGGGGCTCCTGGCCGGGGGCAGCACCTGCTGTGTGGCCTCTTGGGGGCTCCTGGCCAGGGGCAGCACCTGCTGTGTGGCCTGCCTGCTGGGGGCTCCTTATTGCGGCTCACAGGGCAGCTATGCCTGGGCCTTAGCTCCAGGGCAGCCACCCCGTCTCCCCGTCCTGAACAAGGCTGAATCCCTAAGATGCCCCATGGCAGGGCAGGGCCCCCCATCCCTGGTCCTGCCTGCCAGAAGGCAGCGGCCTGAGTGTGGCCCTGCCAGGTGCCACGAGCTACTGAGCCAGCTCTTCAAGCAGCAGCTTCTCTGAGACTCCTGACCCTAGTGGGCTAAAGTAAAGGGGTGGGGTGGAGCGTGCTGGCTTTGCAAGCTTATCCCCCACCTGCAACTGCTTTAGGTCCCATCCAGCTCCCTGTTTGTGGCCTGGGAAAGCAGTCAGGACGGCCCAAAGCCTTGGGACCCTGCACCCGCGTGAGACTGGGAGAGGTTCCTGGCTTTGGATTAGCTTGGATCGGCTCAGCTCCGGCTGTCCTGGCCACTTGGGGAGTGAAGCAGCGGGTGGAGAATCTGTCTCTCCTTCTGTGTATAACTGTGTCTTTCAATTTAAAAAAATCTAATAAATAAATAAAATCATAGACAAGATGAATCTATGGAAGATTTGCCAAAAACATAACGTCGTGTGGCTCCGAGGACACGCGTGACCGACAGATCCCCGCAGCCTCCCCCGTGCAGACCAACAGCAGCAGCAAACACAGCCCCAAGTCACCCCAGGCCACAGGGGGAAACAGGACCCAGTACCCCAACTTCACCCACAACACCGGAGTGAGCGGGCTCCCGCGGTCACCCCGAGCCGAGAGGCCGAGTCCCCTGGGCGCCTGCGAACCCCATGCCCAGTGGGGCAGAGCCCCTGCTGCAGCCAGCCTCGATGGGAACCCCACCTTCCTGGGGGCGCAGCCAGCCCGGGAACCCCACCTTTGCGGGGGCGCGACAGGGACGCTCCTCGGCCCCGCTCCCTGCGGCCCCGGCCAGGCACCGACAGCGGGGCAGCGCCCGGGAACCCCACTTTTCGGGGGCCCTCACCTTTCGGCTCCTCATGGGGCTGAGCGGTACCCCGCGCCCGGCCCAACGCTGCTCGGCGGAGCGACCCCTCGCGGCACCCGGACGCGCCGCGGCGTCTGACGTCACAGCCCGGCGACCGCTGGCACGTGACCCGCGCTGGCCCCGTAGACTGTGAGTTCGGGTTGCGCCTCGCAGGGCCCTGCGGGGTCACGGTGCGGGCGCCGGGCCGGGCCGCGCTGTTTGGCAGGGTTACCGTCTGTGCGCGTTCCTGTCCTCCCTGGCGGAGCGGCCGCCTGTCCTGGCCGCGGAGGGCCTGCCGTGGTTGACGGCGAGGCGGCCATGTTTGAGAAGGGCGCGCCCCCTAGCGCTTCGGAGGGCGCAGTGTCACTCAGCCGTCCGCCCAGGCAGCAGTTCGTCCGTCCGTCCACTCACACGTCCACACATCCATCCATCAGTCCGTCAGTCCATTCATCCACCCACGCAGCCACTCATCCATCGGTGCGTCCATCCGTCCACGCACACGTCCACACATCCATCTGTGTCCACTCACACATCCACCCATCCATCCACTTATCCACTCATTCATCTGTTAGATCTTCTGATCACCCGAGAAAGAAAATACCAACCAAGCACTAACAAATCTTTATTATGCAGAGAGAAGTCTGTTCCTGGGCCTTTCCCGTGCAGTGGAGCAATGAACAGGAGAGGAGAGGACCCCAAGTGGGAAGGACAGGTTGGGGAGCGGAGACAAAGGTTTTATACCCCCTCTGCATGGGTGCTGGCGTCACCCTGCTTGGGTCCTGATAGGACAGGAATGTTGGCCTTTGTCCATCATTGGCCTGTACGTGGCCTTGGCTGCCTTTGGGGTGTGCCAGATCTCTGGCTGAGGTCACTGTGGTGCCCACCCACTTCCTGTAACCGCGGTAACCATCACCACCCACCCATCCAGCCATGCATATCTGTTCATATCTATCCACCTTCCAGCTGTCCATCCCCCACCCAACCCCTCAGTCTCCACTTGGGGGTCCCTGTTGGATGCCAGGCATGGGGCAAGTCTGAGAGTCTTGTCCTTAGAGCTCTCCCGAGGGCATGTGTGTTTGGGTGAGACTGTCACATTGATGGCTCAGAGTCATGGAGAGCAGCGCCTGATGTTATGGCCCCTGGGCTGAGAGTGGCAAGGTTGAGAAGCCGTGAGCATCTATGGTGACCAGAGCCACCGCCTCCCTCCTCCCCACCAGAGGTTTTGGCAGGGAGTCTTCCAAAGTTACTAACGTCCACAGAGCCCCAGACTGGGTGGGCCACTCTCCTGGTGTGACCAGAGGGGCAGGGGGCCTGGTTCCTTTTGAGCCAATAGAATGAGGTTGGCCCGGCTGCTGCTCCTGGTTCCTCATACCCACTTTGTCCCTGCACAGGTCCTGTCCCTGGTCTTCTAGGGTGACGGGTCATCATCATCATAATGACTGGGCTGTGACACCTGTGCAGCCCCCACAGGGTGCGCGTGCGCGCACACACACACACACACACACACACACACACACGGTGGCTGGGTGTGAGACGGAAGCAGAGGGAGGGACGCAGGGTCCGAGCAGTACACACACACACACACACACACACACACACACACACACACACACACACACACACGGTGGCTGGGTGTGAGTCGGTAGGAGAGGGAGGGACGCAGGGTCCGAGCAGTACACACACACACACACACACACACACACACACACGGTGGCTGGGCGTGAGTCGGTAGGAGAGGGAGGGACGCAGGGTCCGAGTACACACACACACACACACACACACACACACACTTGGTGGCTGGGCGTGAGTCGGGAGGAAAGGGAGGGATGCAGGGTCCAAGCAGTACACACACACACACACACACACACACACACGGTGGCTGGGCGTGAGTCGGTAGGAGAGGGAGGGACGCAGGGTCCAAGTACACACACACACACACACACACACACACACACACACACACACACGGTGGCTGGGCTTGAGTCAGGAGGAGAGGGAGGGCCGCAGGGTCCGAGCAATACGCACACACACACACACACACACACACACACGGTGGCTGGGCGTGAGTCAGGACGAGAGGGAGGGATGCAGGGTCCGAGCAGTACGCGTGCACACACACACACACAAACACACACAGACACACGGTGGCTGGGCATGAGTCGGAAGGAGAGGGGGGCCGCAGGGTCCGAGCTCTGTGGTCTAGGTTTGGGCCACCGTTTATTTCCTAGGTTGTTAGCTTCTGCTTGACAAGCACGTTAAGCGCAGGTATCAGAAGGCTTAAACAAGTGGTCAATTTATCCAGAGGGTGAGGAACACGACCTTACCACTGTTCAGGGGGAGCGAACCCGGAAGGAAAGGCTGAGGCACAGCGATTGAGGCTTTGTCTTAAGGAAGAGAGTCGGGCCTGCAGGAGGCAAGAGACTGTGGGGGAGGGAGGGTGAAGAGAGCAAGCCAACCGTGGACGCAAGCGGGGAGGACCAGCCCCTGCCCGCACTGCTCTCCTAGGGCCTGCGAGGGCAGTGGCTGCAGGACAGCACAACCACCGTGGCCCCGGGGAACGGTGGACACGCTGACGCATGCGTGAGCTGAGGGGTCATCAGGCAGGGAAGGTGCGGTGTCCACTCCTCACCCAGGACTAGGTACCTGTCCAGACCCTATCGCGAGGACATTCGGCTTGTGTGCCTGGCCACGTGCCTGATGGCTGCGCGTGCTCTGTGCAAACGTGTGTGTCCACTGTGACGCATTTGCCTTCGGTACACACAGCAGGACTGGGCAGAGACTTGACAAGAATTTCATGCCAATGGGGACAGACAGGCTCCTTAGCTGAGCTCCCACACCGTGAGGAGCAGGCAGGAAGAATGCTGAGGCCCGGGACTGGCAGCAGAGACACCTGCTGGGCAGGGAGCCTGGCAGTGCCAGGTCAGCACCTGGGGACCAGTGATACTGCATGCTGCCCTGGCTGGTCAGTGACCAGGCCGTTGTGGCCACGCCCTGTGGAGAAACAGCTTGGAAAGGCTGGATTCCGGGCTCCCTACGAAACTGCCAATTCAGCTGCACCCTAGGGCAGGTGGTGAGGGATAAGTGGAGAGACGCTGGTGTGGGGCATTCTGGGCAGGCTGGGGCACAGGGGGAGGGCTGCTGGGCATGGAGGGGGCACAGCCTCCCACTCCCGCACATGGGTTCCTGGGCCCCCTCAGCCCCTTAACTCACTTGGCTAAGGGTCTTGTCATGTTGGGGACAGCTGCCACGGAGATGGAGTCTGACCCTGAATGTGATTTGAGACACCCCCCCCCCCCCGGGGACAGTTTCTCCAGGAGGCTCCTGGTCCCAGGCATCACCTGCGTGGAGCGCAGGGAGCTGTGGCTGCTGCCATAGCTGGGCAAGGTCACTGCGGAGGACAGGCGGAGCGGCCTCTGCTGGCCCTCATGGGTGCTGCAGGATACCTCAGGTGGCCGGAGACCTCAGGTGGCCAGTGCTGCCTCGGGGGCTGAAGGGCATCAGACTGCCAAGCAGTGTGCCCTGCGAGGGGATGGCAGAGGTCCCTGGCAGAGGGGGACACCCACCCTGAGGTCTCCCCCAGGAGCCTTCCAGTTCACGCGCTCCCTGCAGTCCCCAGGCTTCTGGGCTCGGCAGATTCTGCCTACAGTGGCTTCCAGGGGGAGCTCTCCACTTCCTGGCCTACTTGGAGGCAGGGGTTGGTGGGGGAAGGGTGGTCACATCTGTGTGGCAGAGAGTTGGCAGGTTGGGCGTGGGGATGGTGGGAAGTGTCCAGGAAAGGCGAGGGGGCCATGCATCCCCATGCCATCAGGGTGAAGAGGCGTAGGTGGGTCTGCGTGCACCGTGGCCAGCTCTCCTGCACGGGAA